TCAGCTGGGAAATAGGCACGTTCGCGGTTCCATTCCGCCGGAATTCCGCCAATACTCTTCTTCTCTTTTTTTGTGTTTTTTTGCGTTCATGTGACTGTATGTACGTGCTTGGTCGTCGCTTTTCCAAAGATTGACCTCACTCCACGATTTTTGGGTATGTATGGGCATATCCAAAATCCAGAGGTCTTACTCATTCGCTAAAAAACCCTATAACCTCACTGCTATATTCCATTAGGCCATTTTGATACTTATACTTTTCAGTCCAGTCTACGTTTTATAGGGACCACAGTATAATATACAATAGCCAAGTTAAACAGAGCCAGTAGAACCGAAACAGGAGGTGCTAACTCTTCAGTATGATTAATAGGATGAACTACTTTGTACTTCATCCTAATAATGTACCTGTTTTGTACTTTTTAGAGCATTTTTTTATATATTTCAAAACATATCTAGGGGTGCACTATAGAAGTCGAAAAAGTCTCTTGAAAAAAGAGGTAAATGAGACGTCACAAAACAAAGTTAAAGCTAAGAGTAATGAAAAAGAAACACAAGGCACAAAGGAAAGCTAGAGGCAGCGTAAAGGTTGCATGACGGAATCATCAGGGAGATTATGAGCCGGGACCTATTTGTGACAGTATGAAAAGACATTAGTCATGACCAATTCTTGAATAATTTTATTAATTTATACACTTATTTATTTGTTCATTTATTTAATGACGAGCTAGAAGTGACATAATGGTCTGTGCGGATGATTAGTACAAGTAGTTTCCGAGACATTATAGTAAGAGGAAAACGGGGAAAACCGAAGAATAAAAAAAACAAAAAATGGAAAGAAAAAACAGCTCAAGGAACGACTATGCGTAACTAAAGCTACTAAATCCGAGCAAATCAGAACGAAGAGTAAAAGCCGCAGAAAGTTGAGGAGCTCAAGACAGCTTGAATTTCTTTCAATACGGAATTTATTGGCTCTAGGAAAGACATTTGAAGAAGAAGGGAAACACAAAAACTGCCTATCCTGATTTGTAGCTCATTTTCTATTTCAGCTCCATAAGTCAGTCGTTCGTGTCAGGAGCCAGTGAGAAAAATTAGACTGAAACCTCCAAATGAAGTAAAAGATGAGGTGACTAGGGGAACAGAAAACTAGTAGTGATGTCAAACTAGTAGTGGCTTGTCGTTGGAGATATAAGCTGGAGAGCCTTGGAAGTAATGAAGCATCCAAGCGATTAACATGAAAGTGAAATGTTTCTGCGAAGAGCAGTAATAATGATGTTGCAAATAAAGCAAGGCCACCAGACCAATTATATGTTGCCTCGGGGCGTGGAGGGAAAGATCGCACTACTTAGGCGTAGCACATCGGGAGTGGACAGCCGCGCGTTTCTCCGAACCAAGCCGAACCCATTTACGGCCATGAGAAGCAATCTAATGAGATTGGGCCCATTTCACAATGGACCTCCAATCGGATTAATCACATACTGGATGAATTTATGGAATTCGTGGAGGATTATCGCTTAACACGAAAAAAACGATGAAATCATCCAGTGTGTTGACGGGAAATGTGGAGAGATCGGATTCTAGAGCAAATGTATGATTAAATAAGGCTTCTGGGTTACGGAAGGGTCAGATTTCACATCGTGAGATTCAATCGCTTCATTCGAGAAACTCACTCACACATGCGCCACTCCGTGAGGACGAAACGGAGTTTCAAATGCTGAAAAGACGTTCGAGGCTGTCTCCGCAGTTGAATTCGGCTTTGAGCTAATAGTCTTGAAAGGAACTTGAATTGCATTTACATACGCCGATGTTGCGCTTCAGTTGAAAATGAATGTCGTCTAAAAAATGTGGCGCAATTTCGATGTAAAGGACGAGCACAAGCTCTTTCGTCATGGGCAAAAAGTGAACCTGAGATAAAAAAATTATTATATTGGACTGGCCATAAGCAATAGCGTTTTTATCTAACTTGGAAACTTGCGCGCGAAGATGAAAGAGTTTCGTTGTTGTATTCTACACTCTGCTAATAGGGAACATTTCGCCTCCTGAAGCAGAATGCTTAGTATTTTCAACAATTCTATTTCCTTTTATTTCTAAGTGCTTCGTGAGGAGTGTGCAGTTGTGACATCCGATACCCGCCCTTTCTAGTTTTGTTAAGGAGCTCATAGAGCTCCTTAACAAACTAAGAAAGCTACTACTAACAAAACTAGAAAGGCGTTTGTTGCGTCATGCCCAAAAAGCGATGTCCCTAGGAAGGCTTTCAGCGGTCAAAGCGAGTTAAGCCCCAATTGAAACCTCACAGACAAGCATCGCACATGATGCCCTGTTGAATTCAATTAGGGCGTTAGTTGAGAAGCTTATTCTTTTTTTAGGAGGGGGGCCTGGGGGGGGGGACCGCAGAGATAACCGCCTTCGAAAGGGGAGTCATATTGAGGAAAAATTTCTCACAAGGCAAAGCGAGCTTTGCTGTAGCCTCCGGCGTATCGTCCCCACGACTCCGACCTGAGGCTACAACGAGTGAACCCTTGCCAGGAAGGTCGTTCAGGGCGTGCCAGCTTTCGAAAACGGTTTATTGCACTTTGTGGGCCTACCATGAACCATGAAAGTGGGCTTCGTTTTGGCTGAGCGGCCCCAGGAGGCGCCAAAAAAGGAGCGAAGGTACGTCTATGTACCCCCTTATGAGGGACGTTAAGCGCCTATACTGGCGCAAATTGCCGTCGACGTCGACAGTAAATGTCAAAGTCATAACCAGGACCATCGATTACCCTTATGGACGAACTTCCAGCCAAAAATTTTTCTCGATTTTTTGGTTTTGTGGAGCATTGGTCGGCAGTGGTGACCGGATCCATCCTCGCAAAGACAATGATGGAACGACGACGTAGCAGGCCGCCGAACAGGACAGCATACCTGGTGGAATGCCTCCCTTTCTTTGTTCTTAGCATGAGTTTCGTCGGCATTGTTATTTCCATCTTTGGATATTAATAAAATAGGGGGCCCCATGGCGAGGCAAGACTTCTATTAGAAAGACTGTCGGGCACAACCAACGCACACACCCCAAAAAAAGTCGAAAAAAATTTTTTTGGCCGAAAGATTGTTTACAGGGGTAATCGATGGCCGCGCGATCATGATTTTCGCAGCTTGTTTTCGGCCCGACGTAATTTGGCGCCTGGGTAGCGCTACACATCCTTACTTGTAGGTAGCAAACGCCATTCACTAGGAGAAAACATGTCACTCCATATTAGCGATAAATGGCCCCAGTAGCTACAAATAAGTTCCATATTCGTGATTCGGGCATGGTCTGACCTATAAAGGTCAACTTTCAATTACGGTCCCTGCTTCATGGTATGTAACCTGTAATCAATTGAATAGCACTGATTATGGAGTGTTTCCCATTTAAAATGTGCCATAAATGGCAGTTACGGAACGCATTACTCACGCACAAGACATATTCGAACGCGAAAACACGCAAAACATAAAAAATGCAAAAACTCGCACGCCTGAGGGGAGTCGAACCATCAACTCCACCCGACTGTCCGCTTGAGAATCTTTCACGCTATCCACTAGGCCATCCGATCGTTGTTGCTAAGCATTCCTCCGATCGTTTAAGAATCCATTCCATGAAGCCGTTCACCAGCTTGATTACGTGCCACAAGCAAGACCCATTCCGATTACTTTTCTGTTGCGATTCCGATAGCACCTTTATAGGGTCCCTCCATTCAGCAACTGGTCAAAGTTTCAAGCGGTTTACAGCTCGTAGAGGCTCAAAAACATTCAGTTTCCATAGTTTTCTTTTTCGCTCCTTTTTTGGCATTCCAGGGGGCCGCTCAGCCAAAAACGAAGCCCACTTTTATGGTTCATGGTCAAGCCCTACAAAGTGCAATAAACCGTTTCGAAAAAGCGGGGCACCCGACCTCCTCTGTTGGGAACAAATCGTGGCACTCATCTCAGTGGATCTTGGCTTCTGGCAGTGTTAGGAGATTGGCTGAATCTGCAGGCATCATGCCATTCTCCTGGCGGTGGCTCGGGAAGGAACTGGAGGGCAGCGGTATGTGACGAAAGTACCACGTGGCGTCCGCCGCGCGACAATATGGACGATGGGGCGCGCTCCGCGATCTTTATGTCATGGCGACAGTGAATATTTCGCTGCTATTTCTTCAGCAGGAGAGTGAGTCGTTACCTCAGCAATACCGATAGCAGGTTTTTCTGCACTGCATATTCACTCTAGCTATGTAAATAAAACAAGAAACAGTCATGGCAAAGAGGCGAAAAGCATGGATAGTGGGTTATATCGCGTGCACTAAATTGCAAGCACGCGGTGTTTGCAGGTTGCCGTGCGCGACGTCACGTGATCTTAAAGTCCGTCTCCTGGGGGCAGGGATACCGCGACCGCCGTCTCCACACTTTGCCCGCGCTTAGTTTAGCCAAACGCGCTACTTGTCTGCGCCCCTCACTTCTGTTGATTCTCTACGGATGAGCACGTGTTTCGCTACAAGACCTTGGCGTCGCCCGCAAGCGCTGCACTTGTGGGTAGCGCAGGCGGACGACAGATTACGGTACTTGAGAACTACTTCCAGCCTCCATCCCGTACCTTTTTTAAAGCTTAGAGAGTAGCCGTTACTTGCAGGTAAGTACGCACTGACTTCGTTCATGGCAAGAACCGTCCTCGTAGTGTATATTTTTGTCCATAATGAGTCAGCTAACGGACCAAACAGTATCCTGACAGTATCTATGCCCGCTCTTTGTCTACGTCCTATCCTCCTTATTGCTTNACCCCAGTGACTATTCGATTTTACCAAAATAGACGCCGGTTTGCTATTATCTACAGATGCATTGGATGAATATTCTGTATATTTTAGTAGTACAAGCGCTATGTTTTCCTGTATTGAAAAGTCGTACGGTCAATATTAGTAATACGCGTTGTAGAGTCATTTATTAAGGCAAGGTATTCAAACTATCAAATTGTATCACATTTGAAAATAAAAGGGCCCATACTGCATGCAATCGATTTCTATTCAAGGTTTCGTGTATTTGTAGAATCCTTCACCGGTTTTTCGTCCGAGTTTGCCTTCCTTTACCAGTTTATCCAATACTTTGCTTGGAAAGAACAGCTCTCGTGATGGTTCTTGCTTGTTCCAACCTTAAAGAATCAAACTTCAAACCGTAAAATGGAATCTTTATGCTACTCCAAAGACTAAATCCTTTGACTATTCATTAAAACTCAGCTGAATACCTAGCAGGCTTTTCTCGAAGACAACCCTAGATGATGCGATGCATTCATGGTACATCATTCCAATGGATAAAATTTTCAACCCCCCCTCCACCGAGTAAGCAAAACAGACACCAGTCCATCTGCTGAACGCAATTTCACCACGCACGCCGCCGAACTGCCGTATCTAACTCCCTGACGCTGGAGACCTTTTAGAGGTCCTATCGTGCATTTTTTCTAACTCGTCACTCATTTCTTTCATGTTCTTCAGACGTTTTTGTCATTACTATTGAAGTATTACTACCCAAATCCTTCAATAGGGCACTAGATTTTCACCGACTTTTCACGAAGGCAAATTTGGCTAGAAAGTTTGTTACCCAGGAGTAGTTTGACATCTTGAACACGAATATTACATGGGCATAGAGTGGGAGGAAAGGGGGTACAAGTGACAGCGCAGCCTGCTGCGCTTGACTAGACCCTTCTCCCTGAATAGTGATCCCTTCCTTTCACTGCTAAGGCTTGGCCTTGGCAAAGAAAAAGATACTATCGCAAGGCGGCCAGAAAAGGTACTGGCTTGTCTGGCCGTGTTCGCCCAATGACACGGCTTGGCACAAAACAGCCAGAAATCCGCGCTACATGCGCCGGGGTCTGAACAAGTAGTGCTGTCGCCTGGAACGCGGACGGTCAGAGTTTTCGTGCCAGACGAATATCACATTCACTCAGGACGCCGAACAAACTCTGTATGCAAGCTTGCACCGATTTCGGTGAAAAAAGTCGGGGGCAAAGTGGTGCCTAGTAGCGTCAAACAACGCCGTCGTTGAAAACGAATGTCGTAGTCATCATCAGGACACCAAACAACCCCAGTATGTAAGTTTACACCAATTTGGTGAGAAAAGAGGTAGCGCCAAACTGTCGTCAAATGGAGCCAAGTGACGCTAGCGTCAAAACTAAAGCGATATTCGTGGTCAGGGCACCGCGGTCTCCTTACAGGCAACGTTTTACCGAGAAAAACTTTCGAGTTTTTAGGATAGTAATAGTTGAATAGCACCATTTTTTAAGTTTTTGGGGTAGTAGTAGTTACACAGTACCGGAATAACGAGTGATAGGAACTCCAGAAACTTGAGCGCCTAGGCGGCGCATGTGGTGCAATTGCGTCCAGCAGATGGGCTGGCGTGTGTTTGCTCACCCCTGGTACATTACGTCAAAGGTACGTAAGGGTAAGTCTTGCTTTACACTTCCGCTACTGAAACGGTCAATCCACAAAGCATGGAAACAAGAAAAAGCACTCGTTCGACTCACCGTCCATTATGAATTTGGTGGTATCAAGGCCTACATAGTCGCACAGTTCAAACGGTCCCATTGGATAGCCAGCGCCGAGTTTCATAGCCACGTCGACATCCTTAAAATAGGTTTCTAAAAGGTCTTCAACATCAGCCCAAAAGTGAAGGGTGACAGAAAATATGTCCTTCAATATCTACTAGCTGCCAGAACTCGTGAGAGGGATGCTTCTTAAGTGTAATAATAAGCTCTGCAAATGATAGGGCATATGGGGATGGACGTAGGGAAGGGGAGGGGGCGTGAACTGAATCGCATCCAGGACAGCATTTCCCGTCGATTGTTGTGTTCTCAGGATGGCATCGTTGGTGGAAAAAGCCGCCTTGGCAGCGCTCCAATCCACGTCACAGCACATGCCCTATCGTTGCAGGAAACATGGCTGCACATGTGTGATATTTTTCACATATTTTTGAAAAACATGATCTTGAGGCACATGGCCATGACAACAATGAAGTAACTTATTGAAGTCATGATAATCTGTCCCAGGTCACCACTGCTATCGATGGTAATGTAGATGATCGTATGGCGTGAACACTGGTGCCATGTCAGGCCATGCCATGCGTCCTACAATCCTCGCTCGCTCAGATTACTAAACCCAGGGGTTCCCTACATCGAGACCAGTATAAGTGCGACAACGTTTGCTTCGATGCTCCTGCTTCACGACCAGCGCGTCTGTCCCCTAACGATCAGAGAGTAAAATTAAATGCTTTATTAGTTCGGACGAGTTGTCCTGTTCGGAAATATCGCGCTGCATGATGTGTCATGACACGTCGTTGGTCATCGCGCCGTAAGGCGGCAGGCTTTTCATCATCCTTTTTCTCCCTACCCCTAGTAGCGTCTCAGGGCACTTGTCAACCGGGAAACCTCTCTTCTACTTCTTTTTTCTATCCCGTTGCCTTGCTTTGTCCGTTCTTTTCCTTCTCTTGATCCCTCCTCTTTACGTTTCCCTTTCAACTGCTGCCAGCTGTGTAGATGCCCCCAGGAAATACCCCTGAACCCTTGCCAGCGAGGGAGCAAGTTCTGCGTAACGGCCATGATCTTGGCAAGGGCAGGCCTCGCGATCAGCGTGTCAAGTTGAAAGATATGCCTCATGGAGGGTTAGAGTGTTGCCGCGGGTCATGAACAACCTTTGTACGGTTTCGCGGGCCTAATAAATAATTCTAGCGGCGCAGGTGGTGGGTCAGGCTAATGAATAGTGGGTCAGTCGAGTTTCTCCTTTTAACTCAGGACTCCGCCTCCAATGACTCCGCCTCAATAGTTACTCGGGCTTTCAGTGAAAAAAAGAGAATTGCAGAATGGAAAAGCAGTCTAAGAGTCGGGTCTATGTTGAATGATCGTTATTAGTTCTTATCGATTGTAATCAGTCATACTTGAGTGAATAAAGGCACGTGAAAAACGCTATCAGACATGGGGTAACTAGGGGCTGGGTTTTGTGTTAGCTTGTGTCTTGTTCTTGGACTGTTGAGTTACTTAACCCTTTTCTATAGAATCCCCTTAAGTATTTTCTCTTGGACCATCTTGTTTTATGTGTGCCGAATCGTGAGTTCTGCCTTAATTCAGGCTGTTGCCAGAGAACTCGAAGTCAATATCCTTGCCCAAAAATGTTGTGTCTAAAAGCAGCAGAAGTTGACTATGCGTTACCGGGTGAACACATGCACGTGTTACTTGAAACTCGAAGTCATTTTCGAGCATGACCCTGCCGCCCCGACCCCGATCGATTGGCGATCAAAACCAAGAAAGGCAAAAAAAAAACTAGAATAATGTTTGGTTATTTCACGTCACATAAAGTGAACTGTAGAAATACCGTCCATGGAAGGCATCGCCGCGTTCGGACCGAAATCGGTGAAGCTGTCGCTTTTCGCTGCAAAGATGGCATCAAGATCATTACAACATGCAGAGTTAGGGCACGCCGTAGGTAAGGGGACCCTCAACAAAGGATTCGTATCTGGCTTGCGAAAGGGGTGGGTATGAGGAAGGGCGTGAAGGGCCTTAGGGAAGAGACCGGAAAATATCCATCATTTTTGGCGCGGCATTTACTCCCTGTTCCGGTCCAAATGACAGCTCTTTTCGTTGAAAAATCTAAGGTGAAGGGAAGGAGGAGCACTCGCTGAAGTTGGATTTCTATGAGACGCACTAAAGGGCAGCGGCGGAATGGGTCAAAATAGAGTTGCGAATAATAGAGAAAAGGAACGAGCAGGCAAAAAGAAGGAGGGCGCTGGCTCTGGCGGTCCGATCGCTGTAAGACAGCTCTCTAACTGAAGCCTAGGTAAGCAGTTATGTGCGGATAAAGCGTAGACTGACCTTACACGCCACCGTCTTCTTCCCAATATCCTTACCATACTCCATGAGAGTTTCGAATGTTTCCTTTGACGTCTCATCGTGACGTACAATCTACAAATGTTTCGCTATGCTTGAAAAAAGAAAAATAGGGAAACGATAACACAGAGTTCATAGAAATCCTTGGCACACATCCTGTTCCTCCCAAACAGCTCATCACGCACAAAATTACCAGCCACAACGAGCTTTGGTCCTATAAGGCATAAGAATAACCGCTTTCTAGATTATAAATGATGAGCCATTTCGGTAGAACCGGACAGAAACCTGCTTGTTTAAGATAATTTCACGAAGAAAAACCGGCGAGTCAGCCAATCTCACACAACCCGTATTTCAACGAAAAACCTACCTCGAGGAGTTTCATAACTGGCACTGGATTGAAGAAATGAAGCCCACCGAATTGACTTTTTGATTTCAGATTGACAGCAATGTCAGCCAAGCGAAATGACGACGTATTAGTTGTTAAAATAGCTGAGCTATAAAAATCCATTAAACGTAAGACATGTCACACACTAATATGAAGTTGATATCGTGACAATCAGTCGGGGCGCGTCAGGAGTTGTGGAGTGAACCCGCCCTCGGCAGATTTTCCTGTGAATAGTAATTGGTTAATGATCATCCACGAAAAAACAACTGTGGTCAAAACGCCTCATCCCATGCCTCCTAGCACCGCAACGACTGATTGAAAAAGTACTAACTGTACGTAAATGTAAATTCGAGCGTGGACTCACGGTTTAGCTAATTTTTTCTCGATTTCACTGAAAGTTTTCGACTTCACATCAATATTCTTCTACAATTCGCTCCCAATAACTAAATCGGCATCTTTCACGGCCTTTTCGAGTGAGATTTGTCGTGTTGTAGCCGCGGACAAAGCACCGGCCAACGAGCGGCTTCTTGAGCCTGGAACAATTACAAATATGTATTTTTGATGCCCAAAGCTGAGTTAATCGCCATCGAACACAACAGCAGCTCTGAGCTGACGCATTATTATGACTGATCGAATAAATTCATTGTTTTGCAAAATACGCCGCCAATACGATCTCTTTTACGGGTTGTAGTTCAACACATGTAGCCTTTAAAAGCATGTTGGCACGAATAAATCCCTAAAAACGAGCAGGATTATACGCTGGCGGGGAGGATTCCCGCGACCCTGAGGTAGGGGGTTGCGTAGTGGTTTTTTCCTATGGAGCTGCCCTTATATCCCCTGTATCCCAAGGCTACAAACATTACTGGACCTATCAGGTCTATCAAGCTACAACATACTGAACTGCATACGCCTCGCCCCGCCCGCAAATGGAACGCCTTTACCGAGATGCTGGTTTCAACTTCATTTGTTGCTATTTAAAATGCTGGTATCGACATGCTGTGAATGCTTGAAGTCCGGCTGCAGTGTGCTGAATGGATATATTGGGAGTACATAGTGCAGTGTCGTACCTACCCGGAGCAGTTTGTCCTGGCAATGCCGCTTTCTGGGTAAAACACCCGTCGCGAATTGCCTTCAAGGAGACGAAGGCTGTACGCCTTTCGCAGTTTTTCTACCGTTTCATTTCGCTTTTTCGCTATTTTCCCACTAAGGTAGCGCCTACTAGCATTTAGGCTACCCAAACTATCGTGCCCAAATGCCTCTTAAAGGGAATGCAGCGAAAGAGATGTTGTGTTTCTCGCACGATATTCGCATTAGACCCAAATGATTTAACATAGCAAGGCCTGCCACTACGGGATGTCATCTAGCAAGGGAATTACTGTGCTGGTCCCCCCCTACAAGTTCATTACATTATAAGAAGATAAAAGGTAATGTTTCCACCGTTGAATAAACCCATTGTAGAACGCCCGGCAAGAATGTACTGCTTTTTGGAAAAAAACATTTGCAAAATAACGACCCACCTCAAAAGTGTGTTCCTCTGTTGACGACCCCCCCCCCTCCTCATCTCCCACTCAAACTTAGCATCTTCCTCAACTCCCGAATTCTACTACTGCTTTCTGGGAGAAATTTAGTATTTTCAAAAAAAAATAGGGGTTGTGCGCCATTGAGGAAAAACCAAGGAAAGTCAACATGTAAACGGCTGAAAAACTATTTTCGGAAGCAAATACTTCCCTCTCCCTCCCTGCAGCGACCAAACACGGTTCCCGTCGTCGGGATTACCTAACGTACGGCGTGCCCTGAGTGCGGCACGCATTCTATTCATTCAGAATTATAGTGACTCATTGAATGCGAGGTACTCTTACAATGACTTGCGTGGTCAATCGATGAACAAGTCACCGTTTTCATCCTCCCAGTGATTATGGTACCACACTGTCCATTCCGGAAGAAAGAGGGCTAGGGCCTGGGCGAGAGTTAAGCCAGTATTCGACCACCAAACAGACAGCGCGCTTGGTAAGCGCCGCTGCTGCACTACCCTTTGCAAGCCTCTACAACACTTACATCTGTGAAAAAGGATAAGGGAAAGCTGGAATAGAGCGATTCTGCTTCACCGTACCGTGCAGTATATACGAATCACGAGTAGTGATGAACCCTTCTCCTTCCCCATTGAGAAACATGGAAAACGAACGAGCATAAAGCAGAGAGTTTACTTCCAGAACTTGTAAAAAAACTCACAGTTTTATCTTCAGCGTGCTTCTTCTTGGCTACTCGTCTCAAGTTTGTGTCGATGGTTTTTCGAGCCTTTTCCAGAATTTCATCGGACTGGTCCACTAATGATACATTCAGTTTTGCAGCGGCTGTTATCTAAATACCAAACCAGTTATTCATGCTACCATTTAGAGTTACACAGCATCTTGTTGATAGGTGACGCGCCAAGAGACACACTGAGCAAACTACCAATAACTATAACCATTACTTTACAAAACACAACTTTTTCAAGTTCACTACGGTTCTGAAACTGACGTTCACAAAACATTTTCATGGTTCCAGATGTTCCGGTAAACACCTTCGTGCTACAACAATTGCCCTCGAAGACTACAGATATCCGCGATCATTAGAAATGTTGGGCGCTGATGTAGCCCATATATGCAGTCCCGGTTACTAGTCAGGAGATAGATGACGTGTCATGGATGTATTATATCATAGCAATTTATTTAGACGTGTCTTGGGACATCACTGACAACGTTACGATGCAGGTTTCCTCGCCATAAATGTTTTGAGTGTTTGATGACACGTAGTCTCCTGACTCTTAATAGGCAACAGACCAAAACCTTCCCCCAAGCAGGGCTAAACCCCACACCGGAACGCTCCTCGCCCCCTCAGTTATAACAAAATAAGTGAGACCGTGTTCATACCAAGCGCCGTTGGAGAATTGAAGAATCCGGGGAAAGGAGTATTCACAGTTTTGTTCTCTACGGATGACGGGACATGCGGCGGGAGATGAGTTTGGCGCGACGCTGAACCCGTTATCTACCAGTTCTTGAAGCGAGTAAATGATATCCAATAGTTGTTGGAAACCACTTATGCGGACGTTACGATACAGTATTGCTGCTTCCACATTCCAACAACTGGTTGAGAACGGGCCGCGCCAAACCCTTCCCGCCCGACACGCCCCATCTTCCGCAGCAAACGAGACTGTACCTATGGATCTAAAGAACTAGTTAACCGGAAAACTGAAAAAGCGAAAATAAGCGGGACAAGAAATAATCAACTGGCTCCGCCTATAGGGCGTTTTGTGGCGAGAGGAGCACTGGGAATGGGATTGGCGATATTGAGAATCAAAATGTACATTGATCCCATTAAGACCGGATTCTGGTAGAACCAGATGAGCTGCAGATCAATACTTATCACAATATAAACGAACTGTCCTATTCTCCAGAAGTCGCAGACAGTAAACAACACGTTCACAAAGAGTAACACCCTTACCTGAGCAATTCCTGATCCCATGAGACCAGCACCAACTATGGCCACAGTGTTCACTTTGGCAAATGATGTAGCAGTTGCCGAAAAGCACCGACCTAATGGCAAAGCCTTTGTTGACAACATCTAAAAAACAGAAAGTAATGATAGAGTAAGGGATTCACAGTCGGTGACCCAAGAGTGGATTACAGCGGTGGAACAGCAAATCACACTGGATTCAATAAAGATATTTATGTGCAATGATTGTTGAAAAAAGATAGTTTGAATGAGCAAACAGTCTGCCCAAAAATAAATAAGCAAAAAAAAACTACAATACTGTACGGAGCCTTGGAGGCGAATCAGTTCCAGTCAATCCACGTAATCGTTGAGGAAATTACAAGGGGGTTCGGACTTGACAATGCTGGCGGGAGAGAGAGGGGGTCGTATTTCACCTCAAGAGAAAACTACTGGATTGTCAACTTTCCTAAGCGGTACTCCCTCCACTCTTGTATACCCCCACCCACCAACCCAATCGACGGCAAAATCCTGGGTAATTGGAAATGTAGTAAGAAGGAAAGTCGGATGCGAAAAAGGGGCCTTATTGAAACATTAAACTCGGGTGGTGGTCGTATTCTGCTAACATTTCCTACAACGCGACGATGTGCCCCGGTTCCAAAGCTAGTCGCGCACCTTTAGTGAGCGTGCGTATAAGCTGCGGCTACAGGGTAGAGCATCGTTGCGAGAATCCCGTCAGGGTCGTACATGTCCAGAGGGGAGCAGGTATAGAACCCAGGCTTGAGATAAATCCTCCCAAAAGCTATCCCACCCCTTAGGAGCTCCCATCGCTTGAAGCCAGTTTACTGGACAGAACTGAATTTTTTCGGAGAGTAGGTAAAGATTCGGAAGAATTAGGCAACATGAAGATAGGATGGGGAATGGGGTCGTACAGGAGGAAGAAATTTTAAGGGGGAGGGGGGGAGTCGTTCCAAAACCACAATTTCATCCATGTCGATGCGTTACCCTGCGCAGCTACGCGCTCTTGCCCGCGAATCTATCACTCATCAATCAACACAGCTAAAAATACCACTTACTATGCTAATGTACTATGTTAAATGTACTTAAACTCTCAGTCTTTGCAGAAATCAGTTATCAAAGCATGGCAGTAAAGCTGTGGCCCCCGAGGTTGAGTGGTTTATCCTGCCTGGCAATACTTGGGCTTTTACAAGAACACAAGTTGGAAAAGAAGTAGCCTAAGAGGAAAATGTGACTGGTCCGAAGCAAATGCGTTATGAAACACTGCGCCAATCCAAGTACTGTGGTAAATGTACTTAATTTCTGAAGCAGTACAAAAAAAGTAGCGCAGAAAAAGCAACTATCAGTAGTATGGCAGCAGAAGCTGTGGTTCCGAGGTTGATGAGGGCTCACTAGCTAATGCAAGCACTTGGGTTTTACCAGAATTTAATTTGAAAAAGAAGTAGCCTGCAAAAGAGGAGCGAAAGGTTCGAAAGGGAGTTCGTTAGAAAACACGGTGCCAGCCAAAGTCCACAGAACAACCGGCCATCACTGATCGATACATCAACAGCCACAAGAGTAATGACCGGCGAAGAATGGACGCTAACACAAGCGCCCGTGCGCTACACCAATGGTACAGCGTACACCCACAACGATGTTTTTATCCTTATCTCGTCAGCTAAACTTCAATTCAAATTTCTCCCGCGCGCGCGAGCAGCAACTGAGATTCCCGTGGGTGGTCAAGGGGCCAGAACATACAGTAACCTCCCATGCGGTCGTTTAACCTCGGCAAGATCACTCGTAATACTTCGGCGCTATTCAATTTTCTAATACCATTAGTAAAATCTGGTCAGAGTGCGCTGAACGGTTGCAATGGAGCGCGTTAGTGGCGTGGAAAAACTAGTGGGCTCCACCTGTTGTTGTTATAGTGTAAACTATGATGAACTAAAACCACATTCCCCTGTTGCAGTTCGTGGATGGTGAGGTCAAATATAAATTAGTAGGTTCTAGTTAACTTACCAACAATGATGGAAGGAAAAGAAATCGCAGAAAATATCTCCAAATGAGGCTGGGCTGATTTTTCGCTAGGACGAGATTGTTGTAAACAGAGACGCAGTAACGCTCAATCATGGGCTTCGAAGCGTACAAGCGCACGCTGAAGTCGATATTTGTAAAATAGAAAAGTTAGAATGGTAGTAATTTTACAAACTGTTTAGTCGATAATAGGAGAAAGAAGAGTGTAAAGAAGGAAGTTGTCTAGGGAGTGTTAAAGCAATAACTTTAAGGGTGTTATTTATGCACAGGCGAGAACTTCGCAACCAGTAGAGGCGTTTTCAAAGGGATGGAATGAGCACACCTGCGGCGCTTTCACCCCTGCTTGTTTTATTCCTAAAACAATTAGTAATCGATAACTTTGGTGAAACAAGCAGCCGGGACGGATCCCGTCCTTATCGTAACCGCCCCACCTGATTGCGACGTTGTCAGCTACCAAGGGCCGATCCTCCTTCTGCGTGTGAAGTGGATCTTCCCCCACACATTCCCAAAAAATAGAGGGCTAGTCGGATCGGCCGCCTCCGCCGAAAATGCCCGAGAATGTTTTTTTTTTCGAAAATCTCCATACTTTATAGTTTCATTCACCATATACGCCTCTGCTGCTTCCACATGTTCAGCGTAGGTATTCAAAACACTTTAGATTATCAGAACGAAGACGAATGTATGTAGAAGAGGTGATAGTTCGCCAATTCGTTGGGAGTTGTATAGTACTCTGACCGAAGCCTCGCCCACTGCAGTTACGTCTGCATTCAATCCCCCTACCCATTTCCCGATACCCACTTTTCCCGCTCTCTTGGCTCATTTGAGACTGAACTACGAATTCTGATTCGATTCACGTCCACAGCAGACGTGCCTCCCTCAACCGTCCACCCATTCATTCCCTATCGTTTCCCTTTTTTCCTATCCGCGCTCTTTTGGAACCGATTACGAATTTCTGAGTGTTTTATAGCAAGCACCGCCCACCTAGAGCACGCCCCACCCATAATGGGTGTGCCTCCCTCATTTTGTCCGCCAACTGATTGCCTATCGTTTACCACGTTTTCCGCTTCCCGGGCTCTTCTGGAACCGAACTATGAATTTTTGAAATAAGTAGCTCACAGCTGCACTTTGATACCATTGCGTTGGAGCCATTTTCTAGTAGAATTTGAAACATGCACGGCGACGTTGTCCTGCTTCATCACATGTATCCTGCATCGTGGCCCACTCAGAAAAGGCAAGAAGTTGGACTCAAGCACTCCTTGGTATTTCTGGATGTTCAGCACGATGGGAAGGCAAGCTCCAACCTTCCAAAACCACCCCGTACCATCAAAGAGGCGCCTCCGAAATTTCGTCTCGAGAACACCAATGGATCGCTACAAATGTCTCTAAAGTAATGCTGAAATCCATCTGGATCTGGACCGTCGAGACTGACTTTTTTTTATCAGTGAAGATAACCTAAGAAAGAAATGCGGTTGCCTTTCTGATTTTAGAAATTATTCAAGAAACTGCACCTTGTCTCACGACGTCGCTATGTTTGCACGCGCAAAGTTCAGTCTTGCCAGCTGGTGCTTGGCAGTCAGACAGGGAGCTTTCTTCATGGTCTCTCGAGTGATGTGCTCACTTGATCGAATAGAGCGCCATATTGTCATTTTCGAGACCGGAAGATTCATCGCGGCATGGATCTGTTCCACAGAAAGTGGGGAGTTTTAAGCCATTCTTCTGCTGTCTTTTGCGGACGGTGCCTTGAAACAGGTACTGAGTGGTAGCCATCAGAATTCTGGAGGTATATACCAACGCATGTCGCCGAAAGTCCAAGCTGTCTTGCAATTTCTCTATTCGAGTGTCCTGCAGCACTGAAAGCTCGAATCAGAGCTTGTTCTTCTTCGTAGAGAGGACTACCGCGACGAGGCATGAGTAGAGTCTAATCGGGACTAGAGACCATGAAAATGGATTGCAAATCTGGAGCCAAACTTTGGACTTCCTCAGGTGTCCACATACTTTTGTTATTGAGAAACTTCTTCAAAACAACAAATAATTGCACAGCAGTTCACAAAAAGCTCAGAAGTAGTGTATCCCTATGTTTTCGCTTATGAGGAATTCAAAGAATTCAACAATAAAAGTCTCATATCTAAAAAATTCAAAGGCAACTTTGCAAGACAAAAATTTGAGATGTCTACATACTTTTGGTACGCACTGTATAATAGGGTAGTTCACAAACTGTCGTGATGGTAATGGAAAAAGGAAATGTGAAATGTGTAATACACTCAAATATAAACAAGTAACAAAAATATAAGTGTAGACATTAAACTGAGAAGTGAAAGCAACAAGAAAATTAGATACGCTGCAACAAGGCCCTTTCGCGACTTAACGCGACCCGACCTGGGGTTGTGTCACGATCCTCGGGGATTTCTGTATAGGAGGCAGGTAGAAGAAGGCTTGTACAGTGTCAAGTCATAGGCAACTGTCATCCTTACCACGCACTTAAAGGCAGAGGTTTGTTGAAGAATTTTACGCGCGTACGACGACCCGAAAGCGTGATTGGCAAGTTTCCCAAACTACTGATTTCATTCGGCAGGGATTTGATACGGTCACTTCGATACGTACTAACCAGGTACTACTGCTGGCGTGCACATCGTGAGCCGTCGCCCAAACCTCCGCACGGAAAAATATTTTAGGGCAACTACCTGACTTTACACTTTGTCTTTGACATGGATCCATACCATGCTTTACTGCTTGTTTCATTTGGAGCTCTTGTGAATCGAGATTTTGCCACGAGGAACTTGGATGCTGGGTTGTGAGAGCAACAGTGATAGAATTTTATGGACCTCAAAATTGGGTAATTGAACAAGAAACTTCTCAACGTAAGTAAACAATCTGAACCACAAATATCGAAGAAGTGGAATGCCGCATCGTCGGTCCGGCGGCCTTTTATAAGCCGGCTGCATCGATTTATCGTAGTTCATTCGTCGTGGTCGCGGATGGCGAGATCAAAGCCGCAACATTCCCCACGACCTGCGTTGGTGGCTCTCGAGCTCCTGCAGTTCACGGATTGCTGCTTCTAACCTTGCTTCCATCCTCCACTTGGCGTCAGGCAGGGACACAATGCTCTGTGATGACTGACCGTCGTCGCGAGGTATCAGGTCTCCGAAAGCAGTTCCTTCGACTTTGGTGCAATACCAGTTCGCCCCTCTTCCTCTGGTGCATCTGCACTCTTCGCAGTTTTCCAAACAGAGTGTGCGGAGCTTGAGCGCGAAAGTGATTTGTTCGCGGTCTAGCGAGCTCCAAACCGTAAGACACGGGTCAGAATGATGCGATGCTCGTGCACCGCAAAGGTACAGCTACATCACGCTTCGGCACCTTCCGAGTATTGCGAGTAACGGCGGTACGAAACGGATTCGAGAGCGTTCTCCATCGATTCTATTACTTGCTTTCTTGCTCCGCATTCTTTGGAAAACGCAACTTGATCGGTGCGGGATCTTCGTATTCATTTGAAAACTTGCTCGCGTTGGTGCTGAAACTTGGTTCGCAAATGATCTGGGCTAAATTTTCGCCGTCTTGCTTTTCCTCGATCAGCCTCAGGAGGTAATCTTCGTCCGAAATTTCTATGTCACTCTGATGTAGTATTTCGTCGACCTCGTCCGGGTGTGATGCCTGTTCCTGTTTGGCTATCTGTCGCTCCAACACCAAAACCTTTGCATTCAGTGAATTGACTTCCTCGGCATGCTGTTGTAGAAGCTAGAAGCTTGCACTTGTAGGGAAGGTTACTCTTCTTCCATACGTTGAAATTCTTCCTTCAAAACTTGTTCCGTCGTTGCCCGCATATCTTCTGTCTCTCTTATAATTACCATCAGGAGTCGTAGTTTCTTCTATTAACCGCTCCTATATTGCGGACTCCATTTTCTTCCGGTAGCCAGTCTTCATATCGGAGTGATAACAGGCTTCCCAATACTTTCTTTCTGTGCATATACTGGTATCGGTTAGGATATATCTTGTTTCTAGTCCTAAAAGTGTCTCCTTCACAAAAACTGCCAAGCGTAAGAACTTGATGAGGTGGAGGACTCTCTCTCCCACCCCGTCTCTTGTAGGGTCTATTGCCGCTATAAAGTCGAAGCTCCTTCTTTTGTTTCTCGAGACTGTCATGTAATGTTTTATTTCGTGTAAGCATGCTTCCAGCTCGTCTTCCATTCGCTCGGCGCTCGAAGTTCAAAAACTCATGTGATCTGATCAGCAACCTGCTCAAGTATGAAGCGTCCGGGCTCACATCGTGCTTGGCCATTCTGAAATCGAGAGCACATGAGTTTTTAAACTTGACGGCGCTACGGGCGCTTGAATGTATCGTTGGACTTGAAACTCAGTGAGGTAATACTCGAGTTATGGTTACTTGCAAGTGTGCTATTTCTGACTGTGGAACCAGACATTGACCGGTGAAATGTTGGTAAGACTGGGCTTCTTCAATGAGATTTCTTTGCACTACTCTTACTTGACGCCTCAATTCGGAAGTATCGCATTTGTTGCAGGCACTTGCTATAAGTGTTTGGGACCCGATATACAAGGCTTCGCGCGTACTTGCTAAAGTCGATGCCGAAAGAAGGGCTAAAGGACAGCGTGATTGTGAAAAGTGAAGCTGGAAGCGGGAGACTGCTAAACACTTGCCATGGTAGAGAGGCTTTGGCGATTCTGCGGCTGCGGCCTCAAGTTATAGCTATGTGTAGGCTCCTTGACTTGACCTTCCTCTGAAGAACCTCTGCTTCCTTCGAAGTTTTCTCCAAGATCTGTCTCCTGACTAGGCTGTGGTCTGTCTTCTGTATTGCCTCTTAACTCGAGTGGGATGAGTATATTCAGTAGCCATCTTTTGTGCGAAGGTAGCATTACAACTGCTTCTTCCAAAGTGTCTGCTTTCAGAAGCATTTTGTCTACATATAGATTACTCTTGATCTCTACGACGAGTTTCGTGTCTTTCGTACACGAATTCAAATGAAAGTGTGTTGCGGCCGCTAGCAGGAAAGGTGAACTGTTTAGTCCGAAGGCGACTCTTGTAAAACGAAGAGTTCTTATGTTCTCCGAAATTGGTGGTCTGTAGTGGTTGTGTAACCAAAGACATCTTGTTGCATCCCTATCGATCTCTTGAAGGCGCACCTGTAACAAAGCTTTCTCGACGTCAGATGTGGTGCCTATTTTTTGTATTCGGAAGCGTAAGAGTATCCCAAAGAGAGGTGGAAGAATAACGGGGCTAGGTGAAGAGCTTGACTGAGCGAAGGACAACCCTTGTAGTGAGCCAAAGCGTCGAAAACTATTTTCAGCTTCGTTGTTAACTTGTTCATTGTCAAAACTGCCTGGTGCAGTATATAGTGGATCACTGAGCCAGCTGCAGTAGTGTGCTTGGAGACTTATTGCACATATTCAGCCGTAGTTGGTCCTCGAAGACTTTATTATACATATGTAACAGCTCTGGATTACGCTGCAAAGAGTTCCAGGCACTGACTAGTCGTCGCAGAGCGATCGCTTTGTTATCTGGCAGGGTCACACAGTTTCCTTTCCATGGGAGACTTGTCCCAGACCGTTTTATCAAGGCTGGCCTTTTCTGCCTCTTGCGGTCCGTTAAATACTGCAGTTCCTTCATGTTCGAGTGCATCCCTCTTATCTTCTTCTGTAGAGCAGTCGGTATCTTCCCCGAGCGTGTTGACTTGCACTTCTAATGACCAGCATTTGTCCCATTTTTTGAGCTTTGCTAGAAGACTGTACTTTTGGGGCTTGATGTGGGTGATAGTATTTCCCTGTTATGAGGTTGCCCGTTTTTGCGGGTAGGAGATGAAGTCCTGAAGGAAGGGAAACAGGTGGTTGGTCTGTTCTCCGGAATTTCCACACTTGGTCACAGCCAAAAAGTATCAGTGGCTTCACTGCCTTTTTCTTCCATTTACATTGAACTGAAATGTTCAAGGACTTCAAGAATTCTGTGTCTTATTGAAGCAGTGGGGAGAGCGAAGTGGTTTGATCAGAATCTCCTGTGTTGTTAATTCTAATTCATGACATTTCCCCTCGACATCCTGAACTTGTAACTTTTTCTTTTGGATTTCTTCAGAGCCAAACGTGTGCAGAAGGAGCGTTTTCTCCGAAATAGTTTCTGGTTCAACCTTGTCGGCCAGTGTTATGTCGATAAACGGAATCTCTGCGCCTATGTCTGTCTAGAAGTTCCGGAACCTTGCGGTGATCGTCTCGCCTGTTATCCATGGGTGGGTGATTGCCTTCCTTCATCGGCTCTTTTCGGCCACTACGTTGGCTTTCTGACTCCTCTTGACTTGCTTCTTCACGTTATTGTCCTTTCGTATCGTATCTACAACTTGTTGCTTCATTTCGTGTGCGTTGTTTGATGATGATGTGGTCTTAAAGCAACATGTTGTGTGGTGAGGTCCTTCGCATCAGAAACGATTTTACGTTCGCATTCAGATGTCTTGTGCTGTGAGTATGCGCAGAAGTGACGAAGCCGTTGATCTCGTGAGCACTTCGCCCGTTCTCTCGGGGTCTTTTATGTATCACAACGAGATGACTTGTGGACCCTTTGCAGAACATGCAGAGGCTCTCCTTAAGATTGGCTTGCTTTCGAAACTCTTTGGCGGACGTTGCCTGTGACGTGAACATTGGTTCAGATGTAACGAGTCATCATCTCTTTCGGACAAGACTTTTTGAATTATGTTGAGCAGCGTTTCTATCGTAGATGAGGTAGCCGATGAAAACGTGCATCTCTTTGCCAGTACCCTCCTCTGGATATGTGCAGGAAACTTGCTCAACACTTTCTTGACCATCACTTGACTGTCTGCGTGTTTCCCCCTTTGTTTCAGTTGTAGGACTGTGACTTGCCCTTGTTCGAGAAGTGTACGTTGGTCTTTAAGGGACCCACTTCGTAACTTGTGATGGTCAAGTTTATCGATAAGTTTCCGGATCAGTTCCTCAGGACTGCCGTAACAAGCGTGAAGGAAGTTGATTGCATGGGAGTAGTTGTCATGGGTACAGCACCCGCCGTAAGTGTTCAAAAAATTACGAAAAAAACGCCGATCCGCGTTTTTTTTTCGTTTTGAATTTTTGTATGGATACCCATATATGGCTAAAATCAGCTCGTCGAGCTGTATCCGAGGGTATGCTCACATTCTACGACGTTGGGTTTTGGCAGACGCCATTTGGCGCCACTTTGAGACACCTTAGCGCCACAACTTTTCTCAACAACATCTGTTTAAACTTGCTTACTGGGGCTATTCAGTGCCCTGTTCACGAAAGTGACATTCATTTCTAGCCGTGGCGCCATTTGGCGCCATTAGGTGCCGATTTGGCGCCACTAGCGCCACTTTGGCGACATGACCTTTCCCAAAAAAATCCGTATAAACTTGCATAATGGGGTTTCTCGGTGCCCTGAACACGAACGAACATTCACTCCTAGCCATGGCGCCGTTCGGTGCCACTTGGTGCCAATTTGGCGCCATTACTTTTTTCACCAAAATCTTTATGAACTCGCAGCCTGGTTTCTGGAATGGTCACGTGATCGTCATTTGCAGAGCATACATAAATCACGTGAGCTTGCGGCGCTGGCGGCGCTGTGCTCACCATAGCCGCTTGTTCACATGATTACTGTATGTCTTTATAGTTCACATTCACGTGACCTTTATAACACACAGGCTGAGGCCGGACCAAGGCATCGCGCCAAATTGGCACGCAATAGCGCCAAATGGCGCCATAACTGGGAATGAATGTTACTTTCTGATCAGGACTCGAGAAACCCCATTATGCAAGTGTATACAGATTTTTTGGGCAAGGTCGTGTCGCCAAAGTGGCGCTAGTGGCCGCCAAATTGGCACCTAATGGCGCCAAATGGCGCCACGGCTGGACAATGGAATTGTCCACTTTCGGTGAACAGGGCACTGAGTAGCCATAGTAAGCAAGTTTATACAGATGTTGTTGAGAAAAGTTGTGGCGCTAAGGTGTTTCAAAGTGGGCCAAATGGCGTCTGCCAAAACCCAACGTCGTAGAATGTGAGCATACCCTCGGATACAGCTCGACGAGCTGATTCTAGCCATATATGGGTATCCATACAAAAATTCAACAGGAACAGCTCTATAACGGAAAAACGAAAAAAAAACGCGGATCGGCGTTTTTTTCGTAATTTTTTGAACACTTACGGCGGGTACTGTAATTTGAAACTTTTTCATAGACTCCTTAGGTTCCCCCTCGAGGGCGTTGAGTAAATAATTGAACTTGAAAAGCTCAGGTAATCCCCTTGAATTAACGTTAACATTGAACAGCTCCCAAAAGTTATCAAAGTCCCAAATGTCACTCGTGAATTTGGGGGCAGGGAGCGGTGGAAGTTTGGCTTGTTGGTGTTCTTGATTATGTGGCATGTTGACGGGCGCTATTCCGTGGCTGGTGTGACTCAATGTTTCGTAGAATTTCAACGCGC